AGGTCCCCGCCGCATTTTCGCGCCCTGCCCTCGCTTACCGAGGGTGCGAAAATGGCAGCGCTATGGAAGAACTTCGCACAACGGTGAGTTTTCAAGCCATAGGAACGCATTGAACAAAGTTCAATGCGTTTCTATGGCTTTTTTATTTCCACACAGCGATGTTTCCCATAGCGAGGTTAATCCGGAACGGATTAACCTCGCTATGCAAGGCACCACTGTACCTTGAATTTGGCACGGAAGCATACTGGCAGCCAGTGCAGATGAGTGAAAACTGGGGATATATGACAAGTAATCTGTTCTTTTCACGATCAGGCAGATGTGATTCAAATCAGTGCGAATAATCAGGGACATTCATGCAAACTGGGAGCAAGTTTATTATTTTCTCCCTTTGAGAGTTACAAGAGTGACTAACGCGTAAAGGAGATAATTATGTGGCCAACAACTTTTGTAGCCTGCTCAGACAAAATATGCCGAAGCACAGCTATAGTGTGGCTTTCACATTCTCTCATCCATGAGAACGGCAACAGGTTCAATTTTCAATTTTAAGCTAAACATAGGTCCTCGTGATCTGTGAAGTTGGGAAATTGTGGTTTGTTTTCAAGACAGCAGGTGAGAGCAAACAAAGATCTGAAACTATCTGTAATTGAAACACATCAAGTTTTGATGACCTCTGGAACTGACACTAATTTAAACAGGAAACTGATTTTGTCCTGCTTCTCAGAGACACAAAGAGGGAGAGGGTGTGGACGCAAAGGAACCCAAGACTTGCCACAGCTCATTCTCATGTGTTCTTTTTTGTATCAGAACTAGGCCTAATCCTTTCACATATGCCCAGCACATTCAACAGAATTTCCCCTTTACATTCTAATTCTTTATAATGTTTTTCATATTAAAATTATGCCCTCCATGCTAATTGTTCAAGGAACAGAACCAGATAGAGTTTTATGCTTATAACAATTCAGGTGAATTAGGTTGAAAGGGCAGGTTTAGGAGAGCAGAGGAGGCTACAAGAAATCGAGGATGAATGAAAACGGATTAATGTCATCTCCGGTTGTGAGAGCATCCCGGAAGCAGCACTCTTCTGAAGTAATGCAAAACAACAAAACATTCATGATCCTGTCCATTACCTTCTTTTAAGCGTGAGCTAGCACTGTTTGGTGGGGGTGGCTGGGTTTTTTTGTTTTGGAGGGGTGAGCATTGTATGTACTTTCAAAAGAATGTAGAGCACGCCAGTCATGCTTCTTTTAACCCTTCTTTCTAACGGACAGTGCGCACATTATCTTTTTTTTAATCACACCACATTTCCATTACTATTGTACTATCGTTCCCTTTCCTCCCAATCATGAGTAGAGAAGGCTAATTAAAAGAATGCCTAGAGGAATATAATGCATAAACAGAGAGCAGTACTGACATACCATAGAGTGCTTTGCTACAGAACAAATGTGGTGCCTCAAATACCCTCTAAAATGCTAAATCCCTTCAAGCTACTGGCATAAGAATCAAGGGCGGTAGAAAAATCCTTGAAACATCACTGCAAACATTGAGGGTTTGGAATTCTTAACTGAACCAAACAAAGCTTATAGCTGGATTCACACAATAATGGAAAATGCTGTGGGCTAAACCGCAGAAGCCTGTGCTGCAGGGTCAGAAGACCAAGGAGGAATATAATGCATAAACAGAGAGCAGTACTGACATACCATAGAGTGCTTTGCTACAGAACAAATGTGGTGCCTCAAATACCCTCTAAAATGCTAAATCCCTTCAAGCTACTGGCATAAGAATCAAGGGCGGTAGAAAAATCCTTGAAACATCACTGCAAACATTGAGGGTTTGGAATTCTTAACAGAACCAAACAAAGCTTATAGTCGGATTCACACAATAATGGAAAATGCATATACTTCCATCTATATATACTCTATTGATACATCTGGTGCTTGTGTTCTGAAACAATTGTCAAATAGTGCAAGAATGGCTCTATGGCTTGAAGAGCGGGATGAGCGCCGCCCCCTAAAGTCGGACACGACTGGACAAAAATTGGGGAACCTTTACCTTTACCTTTTCATATACACTCTATTGATACATCTGGTGCTTGTGTCCTGAAACAATTGTCAAATAATTAAGTGCAAGAAGTAAAGAAGAGATCCTGCCTATGGGAGAAGTGTAGTGGCATATGTACACAACAATGCACTAGGATTTGTGGTAAAAATTACTATAACTCAGAGGAAATCACATTAAGACCTCTTTCTCCCTCCAGTTTTTCAACTATTTCTATAGAACTGTTCCCTCTGCAGAGGTACTTGAGCCCTATATTCAATATAAATTTGCACTACCACTAAGAGCACACCTACAGCTGCAAATTGGAAAAAAAATACGATTTTTTCTGTTTTTTCCATCTTACAGAATTCTTTAATTGTGTAAAAATTCCTTTTTATTTATATATTGTTCTCATATTTTGTATTTTGTGTTGTAAGCTGCCTAGAGTGGTCGTAATGACCAGATAGGCGGGGTATAAACGGAATAAATAAATAAAATAAATAAATTGAAATATTTCAACCATAATCACTATACTTCTTCCCTTGTGGTAAAAGAACGTGTGTGTTCATATACAGATGTGAATATGTGTTCGCATGAACTAGAAATGTGACAAAAAAATTACCAGAACCCTTTTAATGCTCAAAACAAGCTTTCGCCATGCAATAATGCAGCCCACTGAAAACCGTCAAACTGCTCTGAGAAATCCTGCCTCCAACATGAAAGAAAGGACACCAAAGTCTTGTTCAATAGATATGTAGCTGGAGCATCAACTGTGGATGCCACAATTAGTGCCAGCCACATATCTGACTGGATCACCCTATCATACAACCAAGCATGTAACCATGTGTACTCAGCACCTTGTCAGACTGCCAGGACATCTTCTGCAACTGGAGCTCTGCACATAGAAATGCAGAATGGGATACTGGACTGAGAGAGGGCTTTAGGTGTCAACATTAGTACCCTTGTAAATCCAAGTACTGTACACACACGTGACAAGCATAAAAGGAATGCCTAGTTGTCTCCATATATGCAAACCACACACCCTGTGCTCCTACTTTTTAATAACCCATAAAAGAGCTAAAAATGGGCATGAGATTTTCTGACTTTTTTCACTACAGTTGTGAGAATTCACCAGGAATTCTCTCAGCAAGAATCCTGGCCGCTGTAGTAAAAAAAAATCCAAGTTCTCAGAGGAGTTTCATCACACATAACTATAGTGCAGTCAATCCTTCTCTATAGCAATCACCATCAACCTAAAGAGGAAGAAAGTGGGTAGGACTGGCTAAGCTTTATGGGAAGTACACAGGATTGGGAGGCTAGTAGCCTCTCTGCTCAACAGATTCTGTACAGGGTGTCTGTGAAAAGAACTACAAGTCCCCTCATCCCTTACAGCTCCCATGGATCTTAACATATGCCACCTCAGCTTCATCCTCTTCAAGCAAGCTTACTTTTATGACGCCTGATACTATAACCTGCCATTCCTTTTAGTCTGATGAAGCAGACTATAACCCAAAATAAAATAAACTGAGGGCACCACAATACTTTTTTTATACATGTTAAAACAGACTAACATAGCTACCTCTCTGAAAATGTAAATATTTCTACTACAAATGTTCCTATTCCAAGATTCAACCATTTGTGTGTTTATATTACACAAATTCGGTTGTATGTGAATTTCAATATTATTGATGACTATATACCTTCTTATAGTGTGAAAAACACGGACAAGAGAGTAAGTAAAGCTGTACTTGGTCTTGCACAAGACGCCCAAGACTAGTGGCTTTTAATCATTGGCCTGCCATGTTTTGGACTTCAGCTCCCACAATCTCTGGTTGTTAGTCATGCTGTTTTGGGGGCCTGGCAGTCTAATTTGGGGGCCAAAGACTGAGAACCACTGCTCTTAGCAACACCTTATCTGGAATGAGTCGCCTGATTCCACTTTGAGGATCCAGAGTGCCATCTGGACTAGCATTCAGCCCACGTGTAGTTTAAAATTTTCAAATGCATATCTGACAAACTCTCCCTCTGGAAATGCTGTAAAATGCATACATCTGAAAGAAATTTAACCTGAACAGACTGGGACAGAACAGTACATTCTAAAAATATGTACTTGGTCTACAATGACTCTGTCAAAAAAACAGCTGAAACTTCATCCTGTGATGTGTAACCATTTCCTTTTGGTGAAATGGAGATGAGTACACACTTTTCCTTTGTATTGTGTTCACGTGCTAGGTCTGAACACCAGTATTAGGCATAAGTACCAAGCCCAAGTCCTAAATCCATTAAGTTCTACAAGCACACGTACTTTCCTTACCCTGCTGCTTATCTCGTAATTACATGCCCCCATTAAAGAGAGTTTATGCTGCTTCCTATCAACAACTTAATGCTAGGAAGAGGGTCATGGGGCCTTCTTGAAAGTCTTTTTCCTAGAGTGCTGGACAATATGTATAGCCACCAGTTCTGGTTATTCAGTGGTGAGAGAGAGAGCTCTGCAGAGGGATTCTCTCTTACTCCAGGAGAAGCTAAGCCCTAGCACTTGACAGACACCCTTGAGATCTTGATCAGATTTAATTCCCCTACACACACATTATTTCAGCATCCCTATCCCTGCTAGGAACAGAGAAAACATCTTATGCAGAACTGTTGTCTTCATGCACATGCAATGAAATAGTTTACTGACTGGTCGTTTTGACCAGATAGGCGGGGTACAAATAGAATAAATAAATAGATAATAAACAAACAAACAAACAAACAAATACTAGCGAACTTGATGGTGAAAACCACTCTTGGTTCATCACCCACATTGCCCAGCAGAGCAACAGCTTAACCCTATGACTTCCCCACCCCCCTAAAATACTGTTATCAAGAGTCAGCCCCCGGCTATAAGAAATGCTGGTAAACATGAGAGCGAGCCAAACTATGAGGATCTGGCCCGTCTTGCACCACTCAGGGGGTACAGCACACACCTGGGTTCAGGTAACACAGGTGGCCTCCGGAAACAGATTGCTGGCACGGAAGGGGGCTCTGCGACCTCCCAACTTAACCCGTTAACGCCCAAGTTCCTCACGAGCAGGCGTGAGGGGAAGGCGGCTTTACAGACAACACATTCCCCTGATCTGAAATTCCTTCTTCATCCTTGACACTCGGTTCTGAGGAGGCGCCCGGCTGCGGCTTTTAATCGCTGAGGAACCGGATGGAGGAGGGGGGGGACATTCTGCACATGCCCAGAGGCACCCCCTGTTTGATGAGGTTTGACTCGTAGGTAAACAACCACCAACCGC